CTTGTGCCTAGAGCCTCCAACTCTTGGGTTTGCACTTGAATTTTCTTCCATGGTAGTGCACTACATCTAATGGAGTGACGGTGTCACCAACACTGACGTTGAAATAGGCAGCGCTAATCATTTTCGACTGTTGCTATTAGTGCCTATAAGTTGTGGAAAGTAAATTGGTTTCATTTGTTTCAGAGAGTAAAGTTATTGGAGAGAGATGATTAGACGCAAAAAAATGGATGTTATTTAAAGTCCATTTTATTATAAGAATGTATTTTTAAAGAGTAGATTGATGGAGAATGTGTGATTATTAAAAAATAAATAAAAGTTTTGGATATGTGTAATATTATTTTATTGTGATTGAAAAGAAGAGAGAGAAAAATATATTTTGAAAATAATATGAATCAAACAATGGTTTAATTAGTGATTAATTATTAATAATATATTTATTTACTAAGGTAATTAGCAAATAACGTCTTTACCTTTCACTATTATTGTGGAAAAGGTTCTTACTTTTCATTTTTTGGTATTTTCACCCTTACTTCCACATTTCATTGCATAAATGTCATTTTATCAATTAAAAGCTGTGAAATGACGAATATTCTCTTCTATATAAATAAAAATAAGAAAAAACTAATTGCAATCATAGTCATTTTTTAAAAAAAATGTAAACAAATCCCAAATAAATTAGTAAAGCGTACATTTCACTATTATTGTGAAAAACATCTCTACTTTTTATTTTTTGACATTTTCAACCTTATTTACACTTTTAATTGCGCAAACCATCATTTCTATCCATTTTCATCTAATTTCTCAATAAAAGCTGTGAAATGACGATTATACCCTGCTAGTTAAATTTATTATTTTTATTTTTAAAAAAAATAAAGAACTAATTGCAACAATAACCCCTTTTTTTTTTAAAAAAAAGTGCAAATAAGTCTAAAAATAAAAATTTTAAAAATTAGAAATTATTTTTTTATAAAAAAACGTGCAGAACAAGTCCGAAATAAATTATTAAAAAATAGAAATTTAAAAATTAATTTTCTTTTTTATTTAAATAGGATGGTATATTAGCCATTTCACACATTTTATTGAGAAATTAGATGAAAATGGATAGAAATGATGGTCTGCACAGTTAAAGGTGTAATTAAGGCCTTTTTTTATTCCCATTAATTCCAAAATTTATTTTTCTCTCTCTTCTTTTCAACAACGCATTATTTATTAAAATAATATTACATGTAAATCAAAAACTTTTCTTTATTTTTCAAACACACATTTTTCATTAATTCACTATTCTAAAATGCATTTTTCCTAAAAATGGGACTTAAACACCGCCTAAAGGTGAATGTGTTAAAAAAATAAATCTATGGACTTTTTCACGATATAGTGAAATGTAGGGACATTGTGTGATAATTACTCTTTTAATAATTTATTTGGGACTCAGTTGCACTTTTTTAAAAATTTGGGACTATGATTGCAATTAGTTATTTCCCTTTTTTTTATTTTAAATAGAATGGTATATTTGTCATTTCACAGTTTTAATTGGAAATATGCATGAAATTGACTTTTGTGCAATGAAACGTGAAAATAATGGTGAAAATACCAAAAAATGAAAGGTTGTGACGTTTTTCACAATAGTAGGAAATGTACGGATGCTATGTGCTAATTACTTTATTTAATAAATGTAAATAACTAATTATAGCTTGAATTATGAAAGATGAAACTTAAAATTTGATTTATGCAATGCAAACTTTAAAAACAACTCTAGTTGTAATTTTCACTTACTCAAAAGTCCTACCAAATGGCCGTTGGGTCCTACTTGAGAGTTGTTTCAATCAATTTCGACTAGTTTTGGGTGTCACCGATTACAAGAGGCTGGAAAAATCAGTGCTTTCTAATTTTTTTTTGACACATTGGTTTTGGGTGATTTAAATATAATCCAAAATCAATGTAGTGTAATGTTGACTATTTTCTCTCAACTCATCAAATCGGAGAATCTTGACAGTTTCTCATATTATTTTGAATTACTATATAGAATAATTATTTTCAGCCAACATTTTAATTTTCAACGAAATTGTAAATAAGAATACATAAACTAAAAAAATTAATTTATAAGTAAAATTTATTTATATAATAAAATTCACTTTTGTGTAAAAATATTACTAATAAGACAAAAATTTCTTATAAAAAAATAAAAATTTCTTTAAAGTAAAAATTCACTTATGTGTAAAAATTAGTTAAAAGTTATCTTATAACTATAAAATTTTCTTATATGTATTAAAAAAAAAAAAACTAACTTACAATTTTAACTATAAGTATATATATAACATTTTATATGTAAAAACTACTTATAAATAAAATATCATTTATAAGTAAAAAATTTCATACTAAAAATTATAATTAAAAATATCACTAAGATGCTTATATACAAATTTATTCTTTTAAAACTGATAAATAATTAACTCTCAAGTATGAGTTTGATTAATTTAAAAACCAATACTAAAACCACAAAATCAATCTGCTCATAAACACTAAAATAGATAACTTATAAATGTCCATAATTGGAAATCAAAACTCCCAAGCAGCCTTTAATGTTTGTTTGAGAGAAATTATTTGAAATAAAAAATATTTTTTTTTAGAATACGTGTCTTTAGAATAGAGAAAAAATATATGAATTCTAGGAAATAATTATTTTTATTGAAAAAATAAATTTGAAAAAGAAAGTAATTTTTAGATAAATTGGGTCAAACAAGAGATTAGATAGACAATGTTTTTGATTTTCTTTCTGGTAGAAGGGCAGAAGACTGTGAGGAAGCTAACTTAGCCCCCATTTGGAATCCATATAAATGAGATTTTGGGAGAAAATGAGTTTTGAAACAGTGATTTTTTTAAAGAATTCGTGGTTAAAAGATAAGAAAATATTTTTAAATTTATATGTAATATTATTTTATAGAGGAGTGCGTAGTTGAAAATAAGTTTTAAAAAAAATGCATTTTTTTAAAAAATAGAGCCCAAAAAGGGCTTAATTTTTGTTTGGGAATTATAAGTTAAGCCTCTATTTGTCTACCATTATTTCAATTTTTTTTCTCAAACTCATTTGAAATAAACATTCTCAGAATAACATAATTTGCAAGTAAACTAAAAAAAAAAAAAAAACAATATTATTCTGTTTAACCACATATTTTCAAAAAATCCACCATTTAAAAACTTGTTTTCGTACTTTAATGGTAGACAAACGGTGGTTCAGGTCTAAAACAACTTTTTATTCTCGAAATGCTTTTAGAGGAAATTATATCGCCTTTGTTTCTTCTAAAAAATCTTTTCACTAGAAAATATACTCCCTGTTTGGTATAGTTTTTGTTTTTTGCTTTTGCTTTATATAAAATAACTTTTGGAGGAAGCTACCTTAATTTTTAAAAGAATTTTCTATTCCAGAAGTACTCGTAGAGGAAGTTATATTGGACCAACTTTTTTTAAAGCTCTTGTAACTAGTAAAAACACTTTCATAAAATTAATTGAGGGTCTGTTCGGTAGTGATTATGAGAATTGATTTTTTGATTGTTAGTGAAAAAAGTGGATCCCACCTTTAAGTGCAGAAGTAAAAAATAATGGCAAGTAGTGAAATAAAGATAAAAAAATTAATTTTTTGATATGAAAAATTACTATCAAACAGAGGTTAAACGAGTTTAAAAACAGTTTTTGAATTTCAAAAATTTCTTTTCACTTTCTAGAAGGCATGACAAACCGAACGTAACAGGCTATGTAATTTCAACATCGTCTGCTCCTAGTGACTTGTCTTGTGCTATTTTCTTTCTTTTTTTTTTTTTTTTTTTTGGTTTTTGTCTTTTTTTTTTTTTTTTTTTTTTTTTTTTTTGGACTTTTGGGCGCTGCACAAACAGGAAGATTCTCCACAATTTCTTTGGGTGCCGTTTCGGAGTGCTTCTCCCAGAATAAGCAAAATTTCGTCCGTTGGCTACAATAAATGGGGTCCACAAGGTTGCAGCAATTTTTGAATAAACCAACCAGTCAAATAGAAAATGTAATGAAAAGACCATGGCGTCTTACATTTTGATCATTCCAAACCATCATAGGGATTTTTTTGACATTTCACATAATTAGTGAATGATGGCTGCTGCAGCCACCCCTTTTTTGGCTAGAATTCTTGCAGGTGTGTGTGGTTTGTTAACGGTCAATTTTTTTCCTAAAAATTTGGCTGGAATCCCTCCCAGACAAGTCCTGGACTTTGTATCGTTTGGGTGTTCTTTGACATAGTTACGACATTTGGATTCTACGTCAAAAGTATACATTTTCGACGTGACTATATAGATTTGACTCTTCAACAATTATTTTTTGAGATATAATTCTCATAAGATCTATGATTTTGGGATGAAGCAATAACCATATTTATAATTTATCTGTTGTAATCAAGAGATGCAAATGATGCATCAACATAAGAGTGATCGTTCGACACTAATTATGATCTTGTGCAAAGCCAATTGAACGTGGTGGTTTGTCATAATTCGCATTGCAAGTCAAGGGAGTTGGATTCCATATCGAGCCCCTCTTTGACCCCCATTAATTTTCATTATATTATATTTCATTTTTTTATCATATTTTTAACTACACAATTTTTCATAAAATAATATTATACGTAAATTAAAAAATTTTCCTTATTTTTCAACCACTTATTTTTCAAAAAAAAAAAAAAAAACTATTCCATCCATTTTCATCTCCACAAAATGGGGGCCAAACGGGGCCGAAAGTGCAGACTTTTTGGTTTGTGATTTAGGGTATGTTTGAGCCATATTTTTTAAAAAAAAAATACATTTTTGAATTGTGATTTGACATCATTTCAACCTCACGTATTTTAATAAAATAATATTATATGCAAATTCAAAACTTTTCTTGAATTTTTAACTACACATTTTTCATCAATACACTATTCAAAAATGCATTCTAAAGAAAATAATGTGGCTCAAACAAGATCTTATATAATGCTTATTTGGTACAGATTTTAAGTCAATTAAAATCAATTTTTTTACTGTTATTTCACTATTTCAATAGTCATTTTTGAATTCTTCTATCACATATAGAACCAACTTTATCTCTAATAATTAAAAAATCAATTATCAAAATCACTAACAAGCAAACACATATACTTTAAACTTTTTAAAATAATTCTCCCTGTCCCGGGTCAGGGATAGGGAGAAAGACAGGGGCACCACGTGGTGCCCCCCTATTGGAGACTGGCCGGCGCCCCTCCAATAGGGGACGCCACGTGGCGCCCCTGTCCCTGACCCTGTCCCTGACCCGGGACAGGGAGCAGGGTTCAACTTTTTAACTTCAATGACTAACTTTTAGTACAGTGGCTGCACTAAGATCTATAACTTCCACATTCCTGGAGGATTCTTCCAGAATTCGTATTTCTTTTGTTGCACAATCTCGTTGCTTTCGTCTCATTCTTGTTTGTCGGTAGACAAAACAATTTGAATTTGTCTACTATTAAACTCCAAAACTTGCAATCTAATTATACTATTCACCCAATTAATTCTTGATACATTTTAGTAGGTTAGTGGTTGATTAGGACTTATTTGAGCCACATTATTTTCAAAAAAATACATTTTTAACAGTGATTTGACTTATTTTAATCACACATTCATTAATAAAATAATATTAAACACAAATCTAAAATTTTTCCTTATTTTTTAATCACGTATTTTTTATTAATTTAACATGAATAATGTATTTTTTCCTATAAGATGGCTCAAAGATGGACTAAATAGGCTAAACGAAGATAACATATTAATTATTAACCACATGTTGCAGTGTGGGGGTTCGATTTCTAAAATATGAAATTTGATTTCTTATAAGTGCAGTGTACAGGTAACTCTTGTTCCCTGACTTGTTGGGACATATCCCCCGATTTACTTCCCTAACAAAATTTTAGGGCGGGGCCATACGCACCCTTAAGATTGGGTTTCAACTTTTTTTTTTTTACCACGTGTCAATTAAAGATGGACAGAGAAAAATGGGACAGCAGATGTTGACGCCCCACCAGAAGACAAGTACGCTTTCGACTTCTCTCTGGTGACTTTCAGATTTAGCCTTTCAGATTGCCGGATAGTTGATGTGCAACTTGTAAGCTTTCTTCTCATCTAAAGGCTTTGGTTTGCTCTTTTTCCCCCCTTCCCATTGTGGGATAAATGTGCCGATTTTTGGCGATGTGTTCATGAGAAGCTCTTTTTTTTTTTTTGTTAGGTTTTTGAAGTTCTATTTGATTTTTTGTGCTTTTTGTTTGCCAGATTTAAGTTCTAGATTTTGCTTGTTAATTAATGTATTGTGGCACCAATTCTCTGGGCACATTGTAAAATTAGGCTTAAATAGCATAAATAAGCGCACACACACCAACATGCTTTCGGGTAATATTGTTCAAGTGTTAAGAATGCTGTATATTGATTTACATGGTATCTACACAGTAAGTGATGGACAATTGGTTTAAGTGGAATTAAGGTATTAGCATATTAGAATTAGTTTGTTGTATTTGTTAAAGGCGTCCTAGGCTCCTTTTTGTTGTCCGATTGCTGCTGCTTCTATGAAGCAAATGAAAGTTGCTAAGTGATATAAAGTGATCGGTATAAATGGACTTAGTTTATGTGACTGGTTTCTTTCAAAGCACGGAAGACATTTTTATTCTTCAATGTTTTTATTTTTTGGTTCCATAGATTTGATTAGTTGTTGAAATATTATATAAAATAGCACTATGAAGATGTTTAGCTGGCTATGTTGCTAGAAGAAATGAACTAATTCCTACTTCATAATCATTCCTATCTTTCCATTTCATCAACTATAATTCAAATACAGGGCGTCAGAATTTTGTTCAAGCATGAAAGGGATGGGAACTGGAAGTTATAGTAACCCCTCCGATACAATTCCACTCCTCACTCCTTACAAAATGGGAGAGTTTGATCTCTCTCACAGGTTCGATTCGGATGTATATCAATTTAGTTTCTTTCTCATTGCTTTAATTAAGATTAGCATTTAGGTTACATTGCTTGTTTCTAACATGTTCTGTTAATGTTTGCACAGAGCAGTTTTAGCACCATTAACTAGAAACAGATCTTACAATAATATTCCACAGCCACACGTGGCATTGTATTATTCACAGAGAACAACCAAAGGTGCTCTCCTTATTACTGAAGCTACTGGAGTATCAGATACTGCACAAGGGTAAGCTGTTTCTAATAACAAGTGCAATGTAAAGAATTTTATCCTCACGTGATGACATAGCTAGTATATTTGATGAAACTTGAACTCGAGACCTAATACTAAATTCATAGTTAGTATTTGGAACTTGAACCTGAGACCTAATACTGAATTCATAGCTTAAACTGAGCCTGATTGGCCCAAATTTTACTATTCTAGGATTCGAAATTCTTTTATTCTTGTTGTGCATTTTTTTAAGTTGGTCAAATAAATATAAATCTTTGTGCTCAAATGGGCAAACAAGGTGCTTTATACATAGATTCACGCGTCTTTTTGTATGTGTTCATATGATTGTGTGTGTGCGTGCGTGTGTGTGTGTGTGTGTGTTTTGCTCTTTGAGATAGAGGTGTTTAGCCTATTGATAAATCATTTATAAATATTTGATTTTGACTTTTTTTCCTTATTTTTGAGTGATCTAATCACATAGATATCCAAATTACGTCTTCATTTTAATCAATCATTAATAGTGGATTCCGAAATGCACCTGGAGTTTGGACAAAGGAGCAAGTGGAAGCATGGAAGCCAATTGTGGATGCAGTTCATCAGAAGGGTGGAATATTCTTTATGCAAATATGGCATGTCGGCCGTGTGTCTAATCATAGTAAGTTAGTTTTTTATGCTACATTTATTGATCACATCAAGGGTGCCTCAAAGACAGCAATGCTACCAGTAGGATCAAATCTATCTGTAAAAGTGTGTAGGTTAACTCTGTTTATTTGGTTCGGGAAGGATTTATAATCTACCATGGTTCGTTTAACAGGTTTTCAGCCGAATGACCAAGCTCCAATATCATCAACAGACAAGGGAATTACCCCTGGCCACGAAGGAGGAGAGTGGTCTCCCCCTAGACGACTGAAGACAGATGAAATCCCTGGTGTAGTCAATGATTTTAGGTTGGCTGCTCGTAACGCTATTGAAGCAGGTTAGTACCCTGATTTGTTTTATCTAGTGCATGCAGCTGGAATTTTTCAAGAATGGCCTAATTATATTGGCAAGTAACAAAAGGAGTCTTTTTAATTCAAATTTTGCCTTCTGTATTGCAGGATTTGATGGTGTTGAGATTCATGGTGCAAATGGTTACTTAATTGAGCAGTTTATGAAAGATGAAGTAAATGATAGAACAGATGAGTATGGTGGGAGCTTGGAAAACCGGTGTCGGTTTGCACTTGAAGTAGTAGAGGCAGTGGTTAACGAGATTGGAGCTAACAGAGTCGGGCTAAGACTGTCTCCGTATTCTGATTTCATGGAGGCGAGCGACTCAAATCCTAATGCTTTAGCAACTTACATGGCTAATGCACTTAATAAGTTCAACATTCTCTATCTCCACGCTATTGAACCAAGGGTGAGAGGTGCAAGTGTGATTCCAGGGACCGAGGATGAAAGCCCCCATAGACTCCTTTCTATGAGGAATGCTTTCAAGAATACTTTTATTGCTGCTGGTGGCTATAACAGAAATAATGGCAGCAAAGCTATTGCAGAAAATTACGCGGATTTGATTGCCTATGGACGCCACTTCTTGGCTAATCCTGATTTACCAAGGCGATTTGAGTTGGATGCCCCTCTTAATAAGTACGACAGGAGCACTTTCTACATCTCGGATCCCATTATTGGTTACACAGATTATCCTTTCCTTGAAGAAGCTTAGGGCATGGTTAACAGATATGATCCTTTTCCGTCTAGCAATTTATTGTTTGCTCTGGATATTTGGACGGTCTCTCCTTATTTATTTTTCTTGCATTACTGTTTTTATTAAATAATAAGAGCAATTATGGAGGGGGGAAATCACTATTTGCCTATTCTTAAAGGGGTACTCTTTGCCCGACAGGTGATAAATAGTCCATGTAAGAACTCTCAACTGTCAAATTTTGTGACCATTTGTATTGTGTGTGGAATATTGCATTCCGTATTGTTTATGAATGATGTGATTGATGTATATTTTTTTAAGAACATATTTTTAAAAAGAAAGATATCTTGAAGAATGAGAGGTTAAAAGTAGGAAAAAGTAATGGGTTGACACGCAAAATTAATTTATAGGGAAATGTCTTATCAAAAATAAAATCGGGGAAAAATGAGTTCTATGAATTTGTACCAAACATGCTCTAAGCATTATTTATTTCAAATATGTCTTGTGATTCTAAAACTGTTGTTCTTACATTTTTGCAATTTCTTAAATGACAAGGACACGTCATGTGCGAACCTCTTCTTCAAAAACTTGCCATACCAGAAATTATAATTAAAAATATCATTAAGAGGCACATATGTAAATTTATTCTTTTAAAAACTTTTAGAACTGATAAATAATAAACTCTCAAGTATAAGTTTGATTGTTTTAGAAACCAATACTAAAACACAAAATTAATCTGCTCATAAACACTAAAATCTATAATTTAAAAACGTCCATAACTGGAACCTCAAAACTCCCAAACAGCCTTTAGTGCTTGTTTAAGAGAAATTATTTGAAATGAAAAATATTTTTTTAGAATATGTGTCTTTAAAAATAGAGGAAAAAAATATGAATTTACGGATATAATTATTTTATTGAAAAATAATTAATTAAAAATAAATTTTAAAAAAATAATTTTTAGATAAAATTGGGTCAAACAAGGGATTAGATATATAGAGCCTATTTGGTTTTGATTAAAATCTAATTTTAATTTAAGTCAAAATCAAACAATTTATACTAACAACATATTTCATAGGTCTCACAAATTTTCAACTACATGTTTCAAAAACTTCTACCACAATCTATTAAAAAAATCTAATTTTAATCTCAATTAAACACCCTCACAATATTTTTTATTTTCCTTCTCGTAGAAGTAGGAATGACAATGGGTCGAGCCAACACTTTAACCCACAGCTCGGCTCATACTCGTAACGAGCCTAGTTCGCGCTCTTAAAAACGAAGCTCAGCTCAGCTAATTACTCATGGGGCGAGCTGAACTTGGGCTCGCGAGCTTTTTTTTTTTTTTTTTTATTGTATGCTGAAATTAGATAAAACAAAAACTTTTTTTTTTAACAAAAAATAAATAAATCGAGCAAAAATATTTGATTGAATTGATTTTTTTCTTTTTTTTTTAAATAGAAAAAACATAAACCCTTATTCTTTATCCAGACTTGGGACCGGCTACTCAAATTTTGAGTAGGCAGAGTTAAAATTTGTACACAAAGAACTTTTAACGTGTACAATTTTTAAAAATAATTAAAAAGGTATTATAAAATAAGAAATTGTGATTAAACTTGTATAATTAAATATCACTTACTTGACGACATGTAATTTTAGCATATTTATCTTATATTCGAAAATGAGTGTCCTGCCAAACTTCACGCACATCAATGCTTCTAAAATATCCTCTTTCAGTCGACTCATGACCTCGAAAAAAACTCTCCTACTTGTACTAAAAGCAGACTTTGAAGTTACAGTACTAATCAGAGGTGTCAGTAATTTTTCTGCAATTGCGAAAACTACTAGTTATCATCGTTCGTACCTCCGCCAGAATTCAATAACATTTTCAAAATTTTTTTAATCATTTTATTAGTAGACATATTATGGTTAAAGTAATTAACTAATTCAGCAGACAAATTATTTACACTTCCATCTAATATTTGGGCAGATGGAGATGCAACAGACAAAGTATTACTAGACGAAGATGAACCTATTGCATTTGAATCATACCTATACGTGCTAATGCCTTGAAATAAATTATATATTTCAATATCGTCTTCTTCAAGTTTAATAGAAGGAGTAGGCGCACAGGGTACTCGACTAACATTTGTACCCATTCGTTCAGCATATAAATTATACGTTTCATTTAAAGTTCGTTCTAAATTTCTATATGTGATAAGTGTACCAAAAGTTAAAGTTTTAGAAATTTGATCAATTATATATTTGGTTTCCGATAAATTATATCATAAGTAAGTCTTTTCGGTATTTTCTAAACTTCGATTCCATAGAGTATATAATTGCACTAAAATCAGGGTCATTTTTGTATTTATGAAAGGTCCTTGCAACTATATAAAGATGTTATAGCATCATATAGCTAGAGGGATAGTAAATTCCAAATAAAATATTTGTACTATCATAAAAACTTGTCAAAAATCTTTTAACCTTTAAAGCTAAAAGCTGATTGGATTCGTTCAGAATAGTTTCGTCATCGTTTCTAATATGCATATTGTTGTAAAACTCAATTATTAAATATTCAAAATATTCACATGACTTTAACAATAAGTAAGTGGAGTTCCATCTATGACTTACGTCACTAACAAATGTGTTAGAATTCGACTCCCCAAATTCGACATAAAATTCCTCAAATGTTTGTTTTCTACTAGGGGAGATCGTGATATATATTAGTGTATTTCTAATTCTTTGTATTTTACCTTTAATGTGTTTCAAACCATCTTGCACAATTAAATTTAAAATATAACACACACAACGAAAATAAAACAAATAACCACCGAAATCAGGTTACAATACCCTATACAATTTATCGATAACTACTTTATTAACATTAGCATTGTCGAAACTTTCGTAACAATATTATTTAATAATAGTCATAATCGCATTATATATATTATTAGCGTTATGTGAGAATTCAATAATTTAAGTAATAACTTTTTTTATGCATATATCCAAAGTTAAAGATATAACACCACCATATTTTTGTAAATTCAAAATTAATTGTTTTCTATTTGAAGAAATACTCTATTGTGTCTGAATGAAGAGTGTTTTGACTTATCCCAACGTACTTCGATTGAAGATATTTTTTCACGTATGAGACGAAATGTTGGTTGTTCGTTATTGTAAAAGGCAACTCAGCACCAGCAATAAATTTCATCATTCCTATTCAAGCATTTTTCTCTGAATATATCCACATAGTGAGGGGCGAAATTGTAGTACCGGCTCCTGGACTACCAAATTGCAGTTGTATTTGACTGGCTTGAAGAAGTCCATATTTGGCAGCACACGCTTTGTAGTGCCCATTAAGGTGGGTGGTATCAATGCCTTTTTATCATGCCAATTATTGTCGACAGTATTTACATACTGCTTTGGACTCGAGGACTCCATTGACATCTCGGCCCGTCGAAATCAATTTAAAGTGATCACAACATTTTGCCTATTTTTTTCCTTTCGCTTCCTTCTAGCATTGGGAATGTTTAACTCGTGTTCTTCCTCCTCTTGTTCCTTTTGGGCTTCGAGAACATTGATGTCATTCTAATCAATTGGATAATTTGTATTATTGCTGGGGTCCGCATCCAAATCCAAATGTGGAATATTTTTAAGAATTGGTACTTCATTTAGACTGAAAAATTGATTTCAATATTGACTTTGCGGCATCGTAGGTGATTTGCCTCCGATATTGAACAAGTCCTCGACAAATGAGCATGGATCCATTTCATTTTGTGAATTGTGAAGATAAAATATAGAAATAATAGATGATATAGGAAGATGATTGAATTGTAAAAATGAATTGAAATTGAAGATGATTAAATTGAAAAAATGAATCTATATTAATGACTATATTGTATAATTATAGACTAATTGAGAGTTAAGAGAAAGAGTGTTGAAAAAATGAATCTATATTAATGACTATATTGTATAATTATAGACTAATTGAGTGTAAAGAGAAAGAGTGTTGAGAATCTTGAGATATTGAGAAATTGAGAATTGAAAGTTGAGAGAGTTTATGAAAATTTTGGGCAAATTATTATGCTATTTATAGAATAGGAGGAAGAAAAAAGAAAAAAGTAAAAATAAAACTTCAGTGATTGGTGTCAATCACTGACGAAACGTTAGTGAAAAGTGACCAAAACAGTCACTTTTTTAAAAAAAGTGACCGATTTGGTCACTGATCAAGACAAGCCACGAGCGACTTGGCTCGTGTCTTGAATGAGCTGGCTCGTGGCTCGCATTCAACGAGCCACGAGCGGCTTGCCTGTTCGGTCTGCTCGGCTCGGGCGCTTTTTTGTTTTACGAGCTTGAGTTGTCCACGAGCCCCATTTTAACGAGTTGAGCTGGCTAGCTGACGAGCCGACGAGCTACACGATCCGTTTGCCACCCTTACGTAGAAGAGTATTCCGAGGAAGCTAACTTAGCCCCTGTTTGGACTCCATATAAATGAGATGTTGGGAGAAAATGTGTTTTGAAATAGTATTTTTTGGAGAATCTGTGGTTAAAGGATAAGGATAACTTTTTGGATTTACGTGTAATATTATTTTATGGAAGAGTACATAGTTGAAAATGAGTTTGCATTTTTTGAATAAACAGAGCCCAAAAAAGGGCTTAATTTTTGTTTGAAAACTTTAAGTTAAGCTCCTGTTTGTCTGCCGTTATTTCAAAACTTTTTTTCCCATTAAACTCAGTTTCAAATATACATTCTCAAAATAAAATCATTTTCACGTAAATTAAAAAAAAATTCCCTTTCACTTAACCACAAATTTTCAAAAAATTCACCATTCTAAAACTCTTTTTTCTACTTTAATTGTAGACAATGTAGGAATTGGTTCAAATAATTAACCAAAAACTGGAAAATGAAAAGGTGTGTAAAAGTGAAAAATAAAAATGTGTGATTACGTGTCAACTTCGACCAAATATTCGGACTTGATCTGATGGTCAAATTACAAAAGTAAATAAACAAACTTATTCTACTCGTCGAGTAGATTTTCGTGGTATATTTGGAATCTCGAAATCAATTTCGGATGAATGAGAAATTACGGACCAAAGTTGGAAAAAATGAAGTGTTGTAACTTTCCGAAATGATGCAGGTTTTGGCCAAGTGTTGCAACTTTTTGAAAGGATGCATGTTTTGGCCCATACAACTTCATTTACACAATTTCTACATCTATGAATAGAATCCTATGGACATGGTTTTGGGTACACCAATTGTATTGATCATTCATTCTCCTCTTACAATTCTTTCCTT